TATCAGATCTGCGGAGAGGCGAGCCGCTCACTAATGCACCATTTTAAATGGATTTGTGAGTAAAACTTACAACTGTAATGAAATAAAAGCTACAGGTTTGAATCTGATCCAGCTCCGCCCAGAGACTCGGTGCAGTTCTGACGGCGCTCGGTGGAGGATTAATGCAGCTCGATGTAAACGAGAACTTTTCTGAAAACGACGCTGTGTAACAGTTCTAAATATTTTTAAATCTTAGTTCTTTGGATTAAGTCTTGTCAAGGCTTTTTAAGAGAAAAAAGTCATATAGCTGTTTAAAAAAAAAACGTTTTAGCTGTTAAGCCTCCGCAAAATATCACAATAAATATCGTATTTTGAGACTTGGATATTGTTACACCCCAAGTTTGCAATTTTTTTTATTTCATTTAATATTTTGAATGTTTTTATATTGTCTTGGTTTTATTGGAAAGCACTTTGGTCACCTTGAGTGTTGTAAAAAAAAAAAAAAAAACAGGTAAATGAAACAAAACACAAGTCCGGGTGTGTTTTTTATGACGTAGCGGCGTTAGAGCTCGACTTAAATCTCACAGGAGTCCATTCTGTGAACTTTAAATACACGTTCTGGTCGTTGTGGCGAATGAATCAGCCTCAGGTCACTCAGGTTCAACGTAACAATTACACACTGTTTTTATTCTCCTCACTAAATATAGAAGCAGGAGTCACGGTACCAGAACACTTCCTGTAACGCTCGTTTAAATAACTATATGTTTATTGTTTATTGTTCAAAAAGAAGGTCATGGTGTTTCTAATAACATTTGTAATCGAGTTTTATTGATTATTGTCTGATTCGAGCTCCTCTTCTTCTTCTTCTTCTTCTTCTTCTTGAGTCTGACTCTGCAGTTTCAGACTCGGGTCGAAGCAAAAATTTAACGTGTTTCGTCTTGTTTGTGTCTTTCACCGAGTCCAACCCTCTGCCCCAAGAACAGCCCGACTAGACCTGGTTTAGACCTGGTTTAGTCCTGGTTTAGACCTGGTTTAGACCTGGTTTAGTGCTGGTCTTGTCATAGTTTAGTTCTGGTTTAGTTTAGGTTTAGTCCTGGTCTAGTCATTGTTTAGTTCTGGTTTAGACCTGGTTTAGTCCTACTTTGGTCCTGGTTTAGTGCTGGTTTAGTCCTGGTTTAGTTCTGGTTTAGTCCGGGTTTAGTCCTGGTTTAGTCCTGGTTTAGTCCTGGTCTAGTCCTGGTTTAGTCATAGTTTAGTCCTAGTTTAGTCCGGGTTTAGTCCTGGTTTAGTCCTGGTTTAGTCCTAGTTTAGTCCGGGTTTAGTCCTGGTTTAGTTCTGGTTTAGTGCTTTTAGTTTAGTTCCTGGTTTAGTCCTGGTTTAGTTCTGGTTTAGTCCTGGTTTAGTCCTGGTGTAAGTCTGGTTTAATCCTGGTTTAGTCCTGGTCTTGTCATAGTTTAGTTCTGGTTTAGTCCTAGTTTAGTTATGGTTTAGTTCTGGTTTAGTCCTTGTCTATTTCGGGTTTAGTCCTGGTTTAATTCAGGTTTAGTTCTGGTTTAGTTCTGGTTTAGTCCTGGTCTAGTCATAGTTTAGTCCTGGTTTAGTCATAGTTTAGTCCTAGTTTAGTCCTGGGTTTAGTCCTGGTGTAGTCTTGGTTTAGTCCTGGTCTAGTCCTGGTTTAGTCCTGGTCTAGTCCTCGAGGTGGAGGTCCATTTTCCTCGAGTCCTGGACACAACAGACTTCAGCATAAAACCATAAGTGTGGTTATGTAAACACTTTCTACATCCTCGCATCGGGATTGGCTGTTTTGTTGCTCGTCCTGGCTCGTGATTGGCTGTTTTGTTGCTCGTCCTGGCTCGTGATTGGCTGTTTTGTTGGTCGTCCTGGCTCGTGATTGGCTGGTTTGTGTTTCAGACCCGACGTGGGGCTCGTGTTCTCTGGGCGTCTTCATCTGTCTGGATTGTTCTGGAGTCCACAGGAACCTCCCAGACACCAGCAAAGTCAAGTCCCTCAGTCTGTCACACTGGGACGAGCTCGAGATCCAGGTCTGGACCGGGACTGGACCGGGACTGAACCTAAACCAGGACTAAACCAGGACTGAACCAGGACTGGACCAGGACTAAAACTAAACCAGGACTGAACAAGGACTGAACCAAGATTGAACCAGGACTAAACAAGGACTAAACCAGAACTGAACCAGTACTAAACCACGACTGACCCAGGACTGAACCATGTCTAAACCAGGACTAAACCAGGACTAAACCAGGACTGAACCAGGACTAAACCAGGACTGAACCAGGACTGAACCAGGACTGAACCAGGACTAAACCAGGACTAAACCAGAACTGAACCAGTACTAAACCACGACTGACCCAGGACTGAACCATGTCTAAACCAGGACTAAACCAGGACTAAACCAGGACTAAACCAGACTTACACCAGGACTAAACCAGGACTAAACCAGGTCTTTCTTGTTTTGTGTTTCAGTTCATGGCGTCGAACGGGAATGAGAAGTTGAAGAGTAAATATGAGGCGGACGTCCCGGTTTATTATTACAAACCCACACACAAAGACTGTCAGTGAGTCCAGAACACACTCAGGTCACACTCAGGTCACACTCAAGTCACACTCAGGTCGCACTCAAGTCACACTCAAGTCACAGGTCACACTCAGGTCTCAGGTCACACTCAGGTCACAGGTCTCAGGTCACACTCGGGTCACACTCAGGTCACACTCAGGTCTCACAGGTCACACTCAGGTCACACTCGGGTCACACTCAGGTCACACTCGGGTCACACTCAGGTCACACTCGGGTCACACTCGGTCACACTCAGGTCACACTCGGGTCACACTCAGGTCGCACTCAGGTCACACTCACGCTCAGGTCACACTCAGGTCACACTCAGGTCACACTCACACTCAGGTCACACTCGGATCAAACTCGGGTCACACTCGGGTCACACTCAGGTCAGGTCACACTCAGGTCACACTCGGGTCACACTCAGGTCACACTCAAGTCACACTCAAGTCACACTCACACTCAGGTCACACTCAGGTCACACTCAAGTCACACTCAGGTCACACACAGGTCACACTCAAGTCACACTCAGGTCACACTCGGGTCAAACTCGGGTCACACTCAGGTCACACTCAGGTCACACTCAGGTCACACTCAGGTCACAGGGTCAGACTACAGTTGTACTAATTTCACAGTTACAGCTTATACTTGGGGGAGGGGGGGGTTGTACCTGTATGTCTATGGTGGAATGTTCAGCAGTTACCACGGTGATCACCTCCAGAAGAAATAGCAGTTTTGATGCAGAATTAGACTGGACCATTTTTTTTAGTTCTGGTTTAGTTCTGGTTTAGTCCTTGTGTGTTTGTGTATTTTTTGTATTGTATCACAGTTGTGTGTTTATGTTTGTGTGTTTTTGTGTGTTTGTGTGTTTTATGTGTTTGTGTTTTTGTGTTTATGTGTGTTTTGTGTGTTTGTGTTTGTGTGTGTTTGTGTTTATGTGTTTGTGTTTATGTGTGTTTGTGTGTTTGTGTGTTTTATGTGTTTGTGTGTTTGTGTTGTTGTGTGTTTATGTGTTTGTGTTTATGTGTGTTTTGTGTGCTTGTGTGTTTTGTGTGTTTTTGTGTTTGTGTGTGTTTGTGTGTGTTTTATGTGTTTGTGTGTTTGTGTGTTTGTGTTTATGTGTTTATGTGTGTTGTGTGTTTATGTGTGTTTTGTGTGCTTGTGTGTTTGTGTGTTTTATGTGTTTGTTTGTGTGTTTGTGTTTGTGTGTTTTATGTGTTTGTGTTTACGTGTGTTTGTGTGTGTTTATGTGTGTTTTGTGTGTTTATGTGTGTTTTATGTGTGTGTGTGTGTGTTTGTGTGTTTGTGTTTGTGTGTGTTTATGTGTTTGTGTTTATGTGTGTTTGTGTGTTTGTGTGTGTTTATGTGTTTTGTGTTTATGTGTGTTTTGTGTTTGTGTGTTTTTTGTGTTTGTGTTTGTGTGTTTTATGTGTTTGTGTTTGTGTGTTTATGTGTTTTGTGTTTATGTGTGTTTTGTGTGTTTATGTGTGTTTATGTGTTTGTGTGTTTATGTGTGTTTATGTGTTTGTGTTTGTGTGTGTTTTATGTGTTTGTGTTTATGTGTGTTTGTGTTTGTGTGTTTATGTGTGTTTATGTGTTTGTGTTTGTGCGTTTATGTGTGTTTATGTGTTGTGTGTTATGTGTGTTTGTGTTTGTGTGTTTATGTGTGTTTTATGTGTTTGTGTTTGTGCGTTTATGTGTGTTTATGTGTTTGTGTTTATGTGTGTTTTGTGTGCTTGTGTGTTTTGTGTGTTTGTGTGTGTTTTGTGTGTTTTGTGTGTTTGTGTGTTTTATGTGTTTGTGTGTTTTATGTGTTTTGTGTTTATGTGTGTTTGTGTGTTTGTGTTTGTGTGTTTATGTGTGTTTTGTGTGCTTGTGTTTGTGTGTTTCTGTGTGTTTGTGTGTTTGTGTTTTTGTGTGTTTTGTGTGCTGTGTGTTTTTGTGTGTTTGTGTGTGTTTTGTGTGTTTGTGTGTTTTTGTGTGTTTGTGTGTTTTTGTGTTTGTGTGTTTGTGTTTGTGTGTGTTTTTGTGTGTTTGTGTGTTTTGTGTGTTTTGTGTGTTTGTGTTTTTGTGTGTTTGTGTGTTTGTGTGTGTTTGTGTGTTTGTGTGTTTTGTGTGTTTGTGTTTTTGTGTGTTTGTGTGTTTTGTGTGTTTGTGTGTGTTTGTGTTTGTGTGTTTTTGTGTTGTGTTTATGTGTGTTTGTGTTTATGTGTGTTTTGTGTGTTTGTGTGTGTTGTGTTTGTGTTTATGTGTGTTTGTGTGTGTTTGTGTGTGTGTGTTGTGTGTGTTTGTGTTTATGTGTTTGTGTGTTGTGTTTGTGTGTGTTTTATGTGTTTATGTGTTTGTGCGTTTGTGTTTGTGTGTGTTTGTGTTTATGTGTGTTTTGTGTGTTTGTGTGTGTTTGTGTTGTGTGTGTGTTTATGTGTGTGTGTTTGTGTGTTTATGTGTGTTATGTGTGTTTGTGTGTGTTTGTGTTTGTGTGTGTTTATGTGTGTGTGTTTGTGTGTTTATGTGTGTTTTGTGTGTGTGTTGTGTGTGTGTGTTGTGTGTTTGTGTTATGTGTTTGTGTGTTTTGTGTGTTTGTGTGTTTGTGTGTTTATGTGTTTGTGTGTTGTGTGTGTTTGTGTGTTTTTATGTGTTTGTGTTGTTGTGTGTTTGTGTGTGTGTTTGTGTGTTTTATGTGTTTGTGTGTTGTGTGTTTATGTGTTTGTGTGTGTTGTGTGTGTGTGTTTGTGTGTTTGTGTTTGTTGTGTTTGTGTGTGTTTATGTGTTTGTGTTTATGTGTGTTTGTGTGTTTATGTGTGTGTGTTGTGTGTGTGTTTGTGTGTTTGTGTTATGTGTGTTTGTGTTTTATGTGTGTGTGTTTGTGTGTTTTTTGTGTTTTGTGTTGTGTTTGTGTGTTTTGTTTGTGTGTTTGTTTATGTGTGTTTATGTGTGTTTGTTGTGTTTTGTTGTGTGTTGTGTGTGTTGTGTGTGTTGTGTGTGTTATGTGTGTTTATGTGTGTTTATGTGTGTTGTGTGTGTTTATGTGTGTTTATTGTGTGTTTGTGTGTTTTGTGTGTTTATGTGTGTTTGTGTGTTTGTGTTTGTGTGTGTTTATGTGTGTGTGTTTATGTGTGTTTGTGTGTTTGTGTTTGTGTGTTTATGTGTGTTTGTGTTTTTGTGTGTTTATGTGTGTTTGTGCGTTTGTGTGTTTATGTGTGTTGTGTGTTTATGTGTGTTTGTGCGTTTGTGTGTTTTGTGTGTTTGTGTGTGTTTGTGTGTTTTGTGTTTATGTGTGTTTATGTGTGTTTATGTGTGTTGTGTGTGTTTATGTGTTTGTGTTTATGTGTGTTTGTGTGTTTTGTGTGTTTATGTGTGTTGTGTGTGTGTTTATGTGTTTTGTGTTTATGTGTGTTTGTGTGTTTATGTGTGTTTGTGTGTTTGTGTGTTTATGTGTGTTTGTGCGTTTGTGTGTTTATGTGTGTTGTGTGTTTATGTGTGTTTTTGTGTTTGTGTTCAGGGTTCTGAGGGAGCAGTGGATCAGAGCCAAATACGAGAGGAAAGAATTTTCAGATCCAGGAAAACCCCTCACCTACGAGGACGGTACCAGAGACCAGAGACCAAAGACCAAAGACCAGAGACCAGAGACCAGAGACCAGAGACCAAGACCAGAGACCAGAGACCAGAGACCAGAGACCAAAGACCAAAGACCAGAGACCAGAGACCAAGACCAAAGACCAGAGACCAGAGACCAGAGACCAGAGACCAGAGACCAGAGACCAGAGACCAGAGACCAGAGACCAGAGACCAGAGACCAGAGACCAGAGACCAGACCAGAGACCAGAGACCAAGAGACCAGAGACCAGACCAAAGACCAGAGACCAAAGACCAGAGACCAAGACCAGAGACCAGAGACCAGAGACCACCAGAGAGAGAGACCAGAGAGACCAGAGACCAGAGACCAGAGACCAGAGACCAGAGACCAGAGACCACCAGAGACCAGAGACCAAAGACCAGAGACCAGACCAGAGACCAGAGACCAAGAGACCAGAGAGACCAGAGAGACCAGAGACCAGAGAGACCAGAGACCAGAGACCACCAAGACCAGAGACCAGAGACCAGAGACCAGAGACCAGAGACCAGAGACCAAAGACCAGAGACCAGAGACCAGAGACCAGAGACCTGATTCAGATTGAGAGACCAGGGACACTGTTGTCTTCTTGTCTCCTTGTTTCCTTGTTTCCCTTGTTTCCTTGTCTCCTTATTTCCTTGTCTCCTTATTTCCTTTGTTTCCTTGTCTCCTTATTTCCTTATTTCCTTGTCTCCTTATTTCCTTGTTTTCTTGTCTCCTTATGTCCTTGTCTCCTTCAGGTCAGAGGGAGGGGACGCTGATGTCTCCTTGTCTCCTTCAGGACAAAGGAAGGGGACGCCGATGTCTCCTTGTTTCCTTTTCTCCTTATTTCCTTGTCTCCTTGTGTTCTTATCTCCTTCAGGACTGAGAGAAAGGACACTTATGTTTCCTTGTCTCCTTATTTCCTTGTCTTCTTGTCTCCCAGCTTCTTTGTGTCCTTGTCTCCTTCAGGTATGAGAGAGGGGACCCTGATGTCTCCTTATTTCCTTTTCTCCTTATTTCCTTGTCTCCCTATCTCCTTCAGGACTGAGAGAGGTGACACTGATGTTTCCTTGTCTCCTTCAGGTCAGAGGAAGGAGACGCTGATGTTTCCTTGTCTCCTTGTCTCCTTGTTTCCTTGTCTCCTTCAGGTCAGAGGGAGGGGATGCTGATGTTTCCTTGTTTCCTTGTCTCCTTCAGGTCAGAGGAAGGAGACGCTGATGTTTCCTTGTCTCATTATCTCCTTGTCTCCTTCAGGTCAGAAGGAGGGGACACTGATGTTTCCTTGTCTCCTTGTCTCCTTCAGGTCAGAAGGAGGGGACGCTGATGTCTCCTTGTCTCCTTGTTTCCTTGTCTCCTTCAGGTCAGAAGGAAGGGACGCTGATGTTTCCTTGTTTCCTTGTCTCCTTCAGGTCAGAAGGAGGGGACGCTGATGTTTCCTTGTTTCCTTGTCTCCTTGTCTCCTTCAGGTCAGAAGGAGGGGACGCTGATGTTTCCTTGTTTCCTTGTCTCCTTGTCTCCTTCAGGTCAGAAGGAGGGGACGCTGATGTTTCCTTGTTTCCTTGTCTCCTTGTCTCCTTCAGGTCAGAAGGAGGGGACGCTGATTGTTTCCTTGTCTCCTTGTCTCCTTCAGGTCAGAAGGAGGGGACACTGATGTTTCCTTGTCTCCTTCAGGTCAGAAGGAGGGGACGCTGATGTTTCCTTGTTTCCTTGTCTCCTTCAGGTCAGAAGGAGGGGACACTGATGTTTCCTTGTTTCCTTGTCTCCTTGTCTCCTTCAGGTCAGAAGGAGGGGACACTGATGTTTCCTTGTCTCCTTGTCTCCTTCAGGTCAGAAGGAGGGGACACTGATGTTTCCTTGTCTCCTTGTCTCCTTCAGGTCAGAAGGAGGGGACGCTGATGTTTCCTTGTTTCCTTGTCTCCTTGTCTCCTTCAGGTCAGAAGGAGGGGACACTGATGTTTCCTTGTCTCCTTGTCTCCTTCAGGTCAGAAGGAGGGGACACTGATGTTTCCTTGTCTCCTTGTCTCCTTCAGGTCAGAAGGAGGGGACACTGATGTTTCCTTGTTTCCTTGTCTCTTGTCTCCTTCAGGTCAGAAGGAGGGGACACTGATGTTTCCTTGTTTCCTTGTCTCCTTGTCTCCTTCAGGTCAGAAGGAGGGGACACTGATGTTTCCTTGTTTCCTTGTCTCCTTGTCTCCTTCAGGTCAGAAGGAGGGGACGCTGATGTTTCCTTGTTTCCTTGTCTCCTTGTCTCCTTCAGGTCAGAAGGAGGGGACACTGATGTTTCCTTGTCTCCTTGTCTCCTTCAGGTCAGAAGGAGGGGACACTGATGTTTCCTTGTTTCCTTGTCTCCTTGTCTCCTTCAGGTCAGAAGGAGGGGACACTGATGTTTCCTTGTCTCCTTGTCTCCTTCAGGTCAGAAGGAGGGGATGCTGATGAAGCGCGGCAGAGATAACGGTCAGTTCTTGAGTCGGAGATTTGTTCTGTCGGAGCGAGAAGGAACTCTCAAGTACTTCACCAAACACGATGTATGTTCCTCCTACAGGACTAAACCAGGACTAAACCAGGACTGAACCAGGACTAAACCAGGACTAAACCAGGACTAAACCAGGACTGAACCAGGACTAAACTAGGACTGAACCAGGACTAAACCAGGACTAAACCAGGACTGAACCAGGACTAAACTAGGACTGAACCAGGACTAAACCAGGACTAAACCAGGACTAAACCAGGACTAAACCAGGACTGAACCAGGACTAAACTAGGACTGAACCAGGACTAAACCAGGACTAAACCAGAACTAGACTAGGACTAAAACCAGGACTAAACCAGGACTAAACCAGGAACTAGACTAGGACTAAACTAGGACTGAACCAGGACTAAACCAGGACTAAACCAGGACTGAACCTAGGACTAGGACTAACTAGGACTGAACCAGGACTAAACCAGGACTAAAACCAGGACTAAACCAGGAAACCAGGACTAAACCAGAACTAGACTAGGACTAAACTAGGACTGACCAGGACTAAACCAGGACTAAACCAGGGACTAAACTAGGACTAAACCAGGACTAAACCAGAACTAGACTAGGACTAAACTAGGACTGAACCAGGACTAAACCAGGACTAAACCAGGACTAAACCAGGACTAAACCAGGACTAGACCAGGACTAAACCAGAACTAGACTAGGACTAAACTAGGACTAAACCAGGACTAAACCAGGACTAAACCAGGACTAAACCAGAACTAGACTAGGACTAAACTAGGACTGAACCAGGACTAAACCAGGACTAAACCAGAACTAGACTAGGACTAAACTAGGACTGATCCAGGACTAAACCAGGACTAAACCAGGACTGAACCAGGACTAAACCAGGACTAAACCATTACTAGACCAGGACTGAACCAGGACTGGACCAGGACTAAACCAGGACTAAACCAGGATTAGACCAGGACTGGACCAGGACTAAACCAGAACTAAACCAGGATGAGACCAGGACTAAAGTAGAACTAAACCAGAGCTAAACGAGGACTAGACCAGGACTAAACCAGGACGAGATTAGACCAGGACTAGACCAGGACTAAACCAGGACTAGACCAGGACTAAACCGGACTAGACCAGGACTAGACCAGGACTAAACCAGGACTAGACCAGGACTAAACCGGAACTAGACCAGGACTAAACCAGGACTACACTCAAATTTAGCCGGCTGTGATTGGCTGACAGGTGACGGACAGGTGACGTCAGATGGGAAATCGCTGACTGAACATTTATATCTGAAACCGTCCGTGTTTCAGGCCAAAGAGCCCAAAGCCGTGATCAAAGTCGACACCATCAACGCCACGTTCCAGCCGGAGAAGATGGGAAACCCCAACGGGCTCCAGATCACCTACCTCAAGGACTACAGCACCCGCAACATCTTTGTGTACCACGACAGCGGGAAGGTAAAAACACACGAATAATGAGAAAGAACCACCGCTGTGTGTCACGCGACGTCACAACATTCAACGCTCGTGTTTAAAGTCCCACTAAACACTTTTTTCTCCCGGTTCTCTGTGTAAACGTGTCTAAAATACAAGTGTGTCTCTGTCCCTGGCTTTAGTTTGGCATTTTAGTGCGGATTTGTTAAAAATCAGCAAACGTTTGGGTCAAAGTCGTGTCTGTAACGGCCTCTTCAGGATCAACTACGGCCAGAACATTTAGACTTACAGACAAATTATTATTAAATTATTGATCCACAAGGGAAGTTATTTGGACACAGGAGCTCAAACATCAAAATATAATATAACAACAAAGAGAAAAAACATGAATGGTAATAAATATCACAATATCGTCGTAGTAAAACTGCCACGATATCGTTATGGTCTCGTGACGATATTAAACTGTGTGTCTTTAAGCAAAAATAAGAATTTTCAGTTGCTCCTGTGGCGCACAGTAAACTACATGGACCATAATCCTTTGCGTCCACGTCATCGGCCTGTGCGCCCGTGGTGAACGCACCAGAGGCTTTTAAGTCTGAGGTCTAAAAACATTTTGGGTTTGTCGTGACATGAAACGAGACACAATGCAGCGTGCGGTTCACCTCAGGAAATACTACAACTTGAGAAGGACCTCGATAAACCCACACGCCGAAAACTTTCAAGAATGTGTTCAGAAAGTCAAGTCGGGAGAAAAAAAAAACTCGTGAAGCATTTACAACAGCTCAAGAAATCACCAAATACATCACAGAATATAAAGACAGTGATTTGCATTCATTTTCCACGGTGACGGCGCCGTCTTTAAAAGGTTAGAGGCTAAACTGGAGCCAAAATATAAAGTGCCATCGCTTTTAAGTTTGGATTTTTTATTATTATTAATAAAAAACATTATTTCTCACATATATATTAGAAATTGTACTTAATTATATTTAGTCGATAGTTATGCATTGTAATTTATTGGATATATTATAATTATAGTATGGGTCCAGTCAAGTGGTAACGGAGGGAAACAGGGGCAGATTTTTGACATTCAAATGTCTCTTATTCAGAAACTAGAGGAACTATTGAAATAAGTAAAGTATCAGAATGTAGGAAAGAGTTACACTCCAACAGGGTCAAGTTAAACCTGTGATATTCTTTCAAGTTGTTGACAAAAAATTTAAAAACTCATGTCGGTAACGGAGGGAATGAAATATGCAGCACTTTTTGGGCAATAAATCCAAACAGTGATAACTCTTGGTTCTCACTTACATATCCTTAACAAACTGGTTTGAATATTTGCTTCATATAGTTTTCTACCATATGGTACAAGATTAGGTTGAAAAACCTCTGACTTTTTGACTCATGAGATTTTTTATTAAGAAAGTTCATGGTAACGGAGGGAAAAGTAACGGAGGGAAAATTGTACAAACAAGTAGAAGGTGCAGGATTTTACATCATTTGTCAACTTTTTTCTTCCAAATACTTTAATATTACTTCAAAATGAAAGGAAACTATTTCTATAAAATATGTCAGTCCTTCCAAGAACATTTTTATCATTTTAAATACTTTTTTTTTTTTTTTTTTAAATCCTGTCCCTTCATCAACAGTTCAAAGATGGAATAACACAAGATATGATGAAATACATCCATTTATTTACATGATTTTTGGGTCTTTGAAATTTGGGAAATAATTTTTGTTCCATGTTTCATACATGGTCTGTTTAAAACATATGGAACTTTAGAACCAAAAATGGTACAGAAAAAAGGTCAACAGTTTGATAAACTAGAGTAAATATGTATCTGTTCAATACATTTTTATATCAGATTAACTTGAATTTTTGGCCTTGTTGTTTACTTCTGCTTGACCGGGTCCAGTTGTGTTGTGTTGTGCAGTGACTATGGAACAGTGACTGTATGAACTTAATGTGTCAACTTTTTGTTATTATAATGGAACATTTTATTGTAAATTATGCCAACTTGGACCCCAGGAAGAACAGTCTTTACCCCAGCAACGACTAATGGGGATTGAATAAATAAATAAATAAATTAGTGGTAGTTGTTGTGAGGTTGAGGGGATGGTTGTGGAGGACATGTGCCAGAGCTGCAAGATTCATTTAATCGAAATCTTCATTTGAATGAGCAATGAGCAAAACGCAAAAGCTGCTGTTTTTGAAGAACCATCATTTCCTCCCTTTCTCAAACAACACAATATCTTCTTACTCTGCATAAAAAGTGCAATCCTTGTAGTTTCGAGCTGTACAAACATGTTCTGAACTGTTCCCGTGTGTCCAGACGGTTTTAAAAATCTGAAATGTGATTCTTGTATTTGTCACTTCAGATTTCAGTCGTTTTGTCGATTCTTCTGGACGAGTTTAAAATGTGAACTCTGAACAGAATCTTATTATTACAGCATAAATCACAAATCTAATCACGTTCGATGTTTTACGTTAAAGGTTTTAAGTGTGAGTGAAATCCAGAAGCGGCTGAATCGACGGCTGATTCTTATTCGTGTGCGGTCAGTTCTGCGGCGGACTCGGTCTCAGGGCTTCTTCTGTCATTAGTTTCATTTTTCAGGACAATCCAATGAGGCGTGACATTTTAACTGTCCGTTTATCAAAATCTGTCATAAACAAAGTGAATATGAAGGATTAGAAATGATCTGTGCTCAGGGGAGGGTGAAGAATCGAAACGGTTTGACCTGGAAATGTGAGATGAAGACAAATGCACAAATCAGAAACTTGAAAAACTTGTCACTTGGAAAAAAAACCTTGAAAAACTTGTCTGTCTGTATGTAACACAGTTTGTACCAAAATGTGATGCTACAAATCGTACGTGTAGCACCAATTTATGAAATAAACTCGTAGAATGAAGTGTGTGTCACAGCGGGAGGAGGTGAAAATGAAGGTAGATCTGCAAAATGACGTCTTGAAAATAAACGATTAAAGATTCAAACATAATGTGTGTGTCGTTCGTTCATTCGTTTTTCAGTATAAAACCAAAAATAAGAAAATGAAAAAACAAAGTTTTTTTCATTATTTGTCTCCAAAACCAAAATGAAAAAACAGATAATGATTTGTTGTTTTTTTTTTTCAGTTTTTCGATTTTGTGTTTAAATGAAAAATGGAAAAAAATGATAAAGGTCGTTTCCCGTTTACGTGACTTCAGTCACTGTGATGCCGAACTGAACCAGGACTGATCCAGGTCTGGGACCAGACCAAGACCAGAGCGGGACTGAGACCGAGACCAGACCGGGACCAGACCAAGACCAGAGCGGGACTGAGACCGAGACCAGACCGGGACCAGACCAAGACCAGAGTGGGACTGAGACCGAGACCAGACCGAGACTGAGATCAGAACTGAATCCGGGACCAGACCGAGACCAGACCAAGACCAGAGCGGGACTGAGACTGAGACCAGACCGGGACCAGAGTGGGACTGAGACCGATACCAGAGCGGAACTGAGACTGAAACCAGACCGAGACCAGACCAAGACTAGACCGGGACGAGACCGAGACAAGAGTGGGACTGAGACCGAGACCAGACCAAAACCAGACCGATACCAGACAAAGACCAGAGCGGGACGAGACAGAGACCAGACCAAGACCAGACCGAGACCAGACCAAGACCAGACCGATACCAGAGCGGAACTGAGACTGAAACCAGACCGAGACCAGACCAAGACTGAGACCGGGACCAGGCTGGGACCAGACCGGAGGCTCAGAGCCCACGGCAGGGCCAGAGCTCGAAGCTGAGGCTCGAACCCTCCAGAGGCTCTGAGTCAAAGCTCGGAGTCTGCTCTGGTCCCGGTCTGGTCCCGGTCTGGTATTGGTCTCAGTCGCGCTCTGGTCCCGGTCTGGTCCCGGTGTGGTCCCGGTCTGGATCAGTCCTGGTTCAGTCCGTACGTGGTGCAGTCACGGAACCGGAAACGGTCTTTATCTGTTGTTTCCATTCTTCATTTAAACACAAAATCAGAAACTGAAAAAACAAATCTTGATCTGTTTTTTCATTTTGGTTTTGGAGACAAATAACGAAGAAAACTGTTTTTTCGTTTTCTTATTTTTGGTTTTATATTGAAAAACAAATGAACGAACGATACACGGATTTAACATGAACACAGTTGTAGGTGAGTGAATTTGAAGAGAAACAACTACAACATGATTAAAACTCTGAAACGCTCTTGAGGAGGAGTTTTACTCACTGACTCCTGTTCTAGTTTCTCATATTTTGTTTGTTTTGTTTTTCAGGAAATCGTGGACTGGTTCAACTCCATCAGAGCCGTGCAGCTGCATTATCTCAAAGTGGCCTTTCCTGGAGCCACAGACGCAGAGGTGAGAATCGGACTCATGTGAGTGAAATATTGTCCATATCAATACACGCATCTCAAGAATCTCGGACGTCCGGTCAACGCGCAATTCACACTGGGAAGGATCCTCTGAAAAAGTGAGCGTCAAACCTCCATGTTTGTTTTCCCAGTGGGATGTGTCTATTGACAAAGTCGATCTTTTCAAGTCTTTTGAACCATATCACTTTTGTTTCTGGTTCTGATATTGTCATATTTTAGTTTTGGGATTCGGACATTGTTAATTTTGTGGTTGTTGGATGTTTTAACAGCGGAAAACAACTCGAGAAATGTGTTTGTGAACTTCATAAATGCAAAAGTGAATCAGATGTGTGTGACTCAAACCTCTGTTCAAACTGTTTCTCTTCCCAACGGAATTGAAAAATAGTGAAAGGTGAAGGTGATGGGCAGGATTGATCCACAGGAAGAACCAAAAAGGAAACATTTGTCTGACTAAATCATCCTGAGTTTACAGAGAACATTTTGTATGTGGAGCGACGACAAAACAAAATCCTCGTTTGTTAATGGAGAAGAGCAGAAGACAAACAGACTGAGCTGCACTTTCTTGTTCTTGTGGTTTTACAGAAACATCACGTCTTGGTCTTTGCAGTGGAAGGTGTTTCTTGGTGAACAGTTGGAGACTTTCACTTTGGCGTTGACTTTTTAAATTCATAACCGAGGATGAGCGACGGATCGAGATTACAAACTGATGATTTCTTAAGGGCCGTTCTCACTAAAGCGTCAAAGCGTCCAGTTTCAATGTAAAGCCGATGTGGACGCGCGACTAGAGCGTCCGGCGTTTTTGTGGTGCGTCTCCGGGCGTCAGCGCGGCGCAAATCTGGCGTCGACACGGCGCGTCTTGAGCATTTTGGCGTCAGCGTCAAGAAGTTGAAAATGCTGAATTTTTCACGTCAGACTCGCCGCGTCGACCAATCAGGGACGAGTATCCAGAGACGCAGCGACGTTATTATCAGGAAGAAAAACCCCAGAACCAGAACGAGAAACACAAACATGAACATATACACCACAATCACGAGACGATCGCGAGGACTAAACCAGGACCAGACCAGGACTAAACCAGGACCGGACCAGGACTAAGCAAGGACTAGACCGGGACTAAACAAGGACTAGACCCTGAATAGACCGAGACTAAACCACGACTAGACCGGTATTAGACCAGGACTGATCCAGTGTCATTAGTGGAGTATAAATATAAACACGCCCCAGTCGTTGACGACCGATTTCCTCTGCTGATGTTTTATGTCATAAAAACACTAAAGTCTCTCAGTCTGGTCTGACATTCGTTTCGGGAAAAGACCGGGACCGGGCTCTTGTTTCCAGGGCAACAGACGCGCGTCAAGTATTTCTGTCCCGTTCGTCCGCGGCGTCAAAGACACGAGCGTCGGGGGCGTTTAAACTCAAATGTAACGGCTCCAAATAGAGACGTCAAGGCATTTTTTGACGCTTTGGTGTGAACGGCCCTTAAATCAGACAAATGTTTCCTTTTTGGTTCTTCCTGTGGATCAATCCTGCCCATCACCTTCACCTTTCACTATTTTTCAATTCCGTTGGGAAGAGAAACAGTTTGAACAGAGGTTTGAGTCACACACATCTGATTCACTTTTGCATTTATGAAGTTCACAAACTTCCGAAGCCCGTTTTCCACTGTTTGGATCCAACAACCACAAAATTACGATGTCCGAATCCCAAAACTAAAATATGACAATATCAGAACCAGAAACAAAAGTGATATGGTTCAAAAGACTTGAAAAGATCGACTTTGACAATAAACACGTCCCACTGGGAAAACAAACATGGAGGTTTGACGCTCACTTTTTCTGAAAATCCTTCCCAGTGTGAATTGCGCAGTGACCGGACGTCCGAGATTCTTGATGCGTCTGTTACAAATACAATTCAAATGTACAAATATAATTCCAAATCTGCACCTCATAAGTTCGGCGAGTGCGGACAAATACAAATGTTCATTATAAGTCTGTGTACAAATGTCCTTTGAGTGTGATAGTTCAGGAAAAGTCACAACTGTAAAACTGTTCGTAGCGACCCGAGTGTCCGGAGGGAAAAGTCCCGTTTGGGAAAGTGAGAATAAATAAAGGCGAGTAGGTTTAAATATTACGCTTTTCTTTAATTCTTTTTGTTTCTTTTCAGCTGGTGCCAAAACTGACGCGAAACTTCCTAAAGGAGGGATACATGGAGAAGACCGGGCCCAGGGTGAGTGCGCCGGACCTTCCACAAAACCACTGCCACAGAACTCCGGGGGGATTCTTTTATTCTTCAGTTTACTTCAGGTCAACAGCTCATCTCCCGTCCCACATGTGTCCAAACCCTCCTTATGTTTAGCTGTAAGATTCAAGTTTATGGAAATATTAGAACGTGACCCTGATTTGGTCCGTGTACCGTTTGATCTTCTGAATTTACAACTAAGAACGAAAAACAATAAAATGGGGAAAACAGTTTAGTTATTTTGTTATTAACCATTTGTTATTTCATTTTTCCGTTTTAGTATCAAACAAAAAAACTGATTTTAAACTCTATTTCCAATATTATATTTTAAGTTTATTTCAAATAACACACACAAAAAAAAACAACCAAAAATTAGGTCTTTTGAATTTCAATTAAGAACGAAAAACAAAAAATGGGAAAACAGTTTATTTCATTATTCAGTTTTAGTGATTTCGACCTCTATTTACAATATTTAATTTAAAGTTTATTTCAATTTAACAAAAATATCAAAAAAATTAAAATAGGCTTACCGATTGACTGTTTTTGATTGTTGTTATTTTGAAACTTTAAAATTAAATAAAACTGAATTAAAATGAAAAATTATCAAAGGTTTTAAAAAAAATTTTGTTTTTTTTTTTGTTTTTTTTTTTTTTTTCGACACTAAAAATGAAAATGAAATAACAAACTGTTTTCCCATTTTATTGTTTTTCGTTCTTATTTGAAATGAAAAAGATCAAATGTTACACAGACCTGATTTTTCTCCCATAATTCCAATTCTGTTGATTGATATGATCAGAAAAAACAATAATTATTCTAAAACCGAATTCATTCACAGCCTTAATTTTGCGATTTACAGACACGTTTTCTTTTCCGTTCCTGGTTTTAAAAGTTCTGCTGGAGAGATTTTCTGATAAAACGTTAAGGTGAAGTGTGGGTTTTAAAGGAGAGTGTGCGGCCCCAGAGCTGTCAGTGTCTTCTGTTTACTTTTACTTTTCTGTGGATCTGTGCGGGGTTATTCAAGAGGCAGCAGCTCGAGATGTCCAAGCCTCCCCCTCCCCAGACGCTTCTCTCCCCGAATCACCTCAGATAACGGCTGTTTAACAAAGAAGACGCCGAAGAATGTGTTATGTTTTAAAAGTTGGTGCGAAATGTTAGAAAAAAACTGTGGGAACTTATGTCCGATCTGTTATAATCAAGTGTCAGGAGAGAGATGAGAAGTCCTGGTTTAGTCCTGGTTTAGTCCTGGTTTAGTCCTGGTTTAGTCCTGGTTTAGTCCTGGGTCCTGGTTTAGTCCTGGTTTAGTTTAGTCCTGGTTTAGTCCTGGTTTTACCTGGTTTAGTCCTGGTTTAGTCCTGGTTTAGTCCTGGTCCTGGTTTAGTCCTGGTTTAGTCCTGGTTTAGTCCTGGTTTAATCCTGGTTTAGACCTGGTTTAGTCCTGGTTTAGTCCTGGTTTAGTCCTGGTTTAGTCCTGGTTTAGTCCTGGTGGTTTAGTCCTGGTTTAGTCCTGGTTTAATCCTGGTTTAGACCTGGTTTAGTCCTGGTTTAGTCCTGGTTTTAATCCTGGTTTAGACCTGGTTTAGTCCTGGTTTAGTCCTGGTTTAGTCCTGGTTTAGACCTGGTTTAGTCCTGGTTTAGTCCTGGTTTAGTCCTGGTTTAGACCTGGTTTAGACCTGGTTTAGTCCTGGTTTAGTCCTGGTTTAGTCCTGGTTTAGTTCTGGTTTAGTCCTGGTTTAGTCCTGGTTTAGTCCTGGTTTAGTTCTGGTTTAGTCCTGGTTTAGTCCTGGTTTAGTAGTTCTTTATTCACTTCTGGAGCACTGCACTGGTTAGTCGGTCTCCTCTCCTGTGTTTGACCTCTGACCTCTGACCTCTCTCTGTGTTTGTGTCTGCAGCAAACTGAAGGCTTTAAGAAGCGCTGGTTCACTCTGGACCAGAGACGCCTCATGTACTTCAAAGATCCTCTGGTGAGTCCTGGTCTCCTCCACCTCCCCAACCTCCTCCTCCTCTACCACCTCCACCTCCTCTAGGGCCCCACCAGTTGATCTCTCGGAGACACGTTGGCCTAAATCTCGCCGATATGGGCTCGTTATGAAGCTTAGACTTTCTATATTGCGTCAATTTAAAGGTTGTATAGAGGATTTTTTTAAGGAAAGAGAAATCCAGCGACAGTCCTTTTTCAAATGCAGTGCATGTGTGACACCACCTTCCTCCTCCACATTTCCCTCTAGACATAATTTAGAGACCGACACCTCAGTTTTTAGACCCTTCGTCCGCTTCAGTCGCGCCATCGCTGGAAGGAATCTCCAAGAATCACCTCAGTTTGTCTTCGCTCCTTTTCTCCTTCTCTTCTTCTTTCAGCGACCTCAAAAACCGACTTTCTTTTGCGGCGAACTGGTGGTGGATTCTCGTCCGCCGTCGCAACAAACTTTATGCGAACTGCGAGAGAGCCACAATTAGAAAAAGCCTCTAAGAACGGCTGCATAGTTACCTTAGAAACGTAGGGAGTTTGATTGACAACCTGACAGCCAATAGAAAATGAGGCAGCCTCGTTTTCTATTGGCTGATGTTTATCTGGCCTCAACACGTCCACAGTTGATAGATTTTCTTTCTTTTTTTTGGTCATCATAATTACAAAGCTGCTGCGTCTCTGTAATGGTGTTTTAAACTTTCATTGACAATTTGAAACAAAAAAAAATCCTCCATACAACCTTTAATCCAATTTACAGACAGATAAATATCTTAATATGTGGCACCACATCAGTATTTATCTACGGAATAATTTGTCTGTGTTTGTGACGCCGAACTGCCCCTGAACGCACCACCAGAGTCACAACACGTGACAAATATGCTCTTGTTTACACCCGTGCACAACACTAAACACTGTTGTGTCTGATCCACGATACTGACCATAAATAAACATGAACTTAAGCACAGTTTAGGCCAGAAACAAAACTACTGCTGCTTTTATCAAATGCAAATGTGGAGCAGAGAGGACACACACAGCTGCTGTCAATATCAGATGCTGAATGTAGTTTTTTGTTTTTGATTTTGCACCTCTCATTTTCAGTGAGCTGTTATAAACCTGTAAATGAGTTGAATCACATTTAAACATCCATAAATGAAGAGTTCAGAGTTTCAAGTCTCCAGAGATACAAATATGTCTGTGATTAAATTAAGTTTATGAGTGTGAAAATCATTTCTAATCACTCGTGGAAGTGTGTTTTCTTTTATGCAGTTATGCTCTATGGCACAGGTGTCAAATATAAGGCCCGGGGGCCGGATCCGGCCCCCCAAGACCTTTAATGTGGCCCTCGGCTGATTTTCTACAAAAATATTTTAATCATATTTTCTATTAACATATTGGTAATTTTCTGTGGTGTTTATCACAGCAGCGTCTCCAGCGTCTCTGTACGTGGCCCCTCCCACCAGAGCAGCACAAATGAAGACTTGTCTCTTTCCAAACGCTCTTAAAGGACGATCGTTTTGACTGTTGATCGTGACACCCTCATCAGAAAAAATATCAAAAATAGAAAAGTGGAGCCGAGTGCAGGATTTTCCAAGAAAAATTGACCTATTCCTATTTACATACAAGTTCATGTTAAAACATTGTGTTGAAATAGTATTTTTTCTCATAATATTATAATATTTTGTAAAAGAAAGAGTTCATCAATTAAAAAAGATTTCTGTAATAGATTTGCTTTCTCTGCACAAATATTTGAACTTATTGCTGTTTTTGGGGTTTATATGCCATGAGTTTTCTGATCCGGCCCCTTTAGGATCAAAGTAGGTTGGATACGGCCCCCGGACCAAAATGAGTTTGACACCCCTGCTCTATGGGATATTTGTATGGGGTGTTCCTAGTAGAAGTCCAACGGGGAAAGAGTTAATCAAGAGCAGGTTCTACTTTTTAAAATGCGACGTACCAAAAAAATCCATCTCCTTCTCCTCCACCTCGTTCACGCTCAGATCGTTTTATGCTGAACGACTTTGGGGTGACAAGTTTTAATTTCCTGTTTAAGTTTAGTTTTAAATCGGTCTTGTCCCGTTTTAAAAACGTATCGTGTTTGGCTGAGCCGTCGTTTCCGTACAAGAGCTCGGGCCACGAGAGGAAATACAATCTCTAATCTCATCATTTATAAACTCCCACATAACTTCGCCGAACGCGTAATGGACTCTCCTCGTCTTTAAACGAACGGCTCTCGTACGGAAGCGCCGCTCCGAGCCGCTCTGCGAAATCCAGCCCGATATCGAGGCTGAGCTGTGGAGGAGTTTCTCACTTTATTTATGTTGGGCACTTTATTTATGTCGAGCACTTTATTTATGTTGATCACTTTATTTATGTCAGGCACTTTATTTATTTATGTCGGGCACTTTTTTATGTCGGGCACTTTATTTATATCGGGCACTTTATTTATTTATGTCAGGCACTTTATTTATGTTGGGCACTTTATTTATGTCAAGCACTTTATGTCGGGCACTTTATTTATGTTGGGCACTTTATTTATGTCAGGAATTTTTTGTTGGTCACTTTATTTTTGTCGGGCACTTTATTTATTTATGTCGGTCACTTTATTTATGTTGGACACTTTATTTATGTTGCTAACTTTATTTATTTATGTGGAGCACTTTATTTATGTGGAGCACTTTATTTATGTTGATCACTTTATTTATGTCAGGCACTTTATTTATTTATGTTGGGCACTTTATTTATGTCAGGCACTTTATTTATTTATGTTGGGCACTTTATTTATGTCGGGCACTTTATTTATTTATGTTGATCACTTTATTTATGTCAGGCACTTTATTTATTTATGTTGATCACTTTATTTATGTCAGGCACTTTATTTATTTATGTTGGGCACTTTATTTATGTCGGGCACTTTATTTATTTATGTTGATCACTTTATTTATGTCAGGCACTTTATTTATTTATGTTTGGGCACTTTATTTATGTCAGGCACTTTATTTTATTTATGTTGATCACTTTATTTATGTCAGGCACTTTATTTATTTATGTTGGGCACTTTATTTATGTTGATCACTTTATTTATGTCAGGCACTTTATTTATGTCGAGCACTTTATTTATGTCAGGCACTTTATTTATTTATGTTGGGCACTTTATTTATGTTGATCACTTTATTTATGTCAGGCACTTTATTTATTTATGTTGGGCACTTTATTTATGTCGGGCACTTTATTTATGTTGATCACTTTATTTATGTCAGGCACTTTATGTTGGACACTTTATTTATGTCATGCACTTTATTTATGTCGGGCACTTTATTCATGTTGGTTACTTTATTTATGTCGGGCACTTTATTTTTAGTTTTAATTTCCTCTTTAAGGTCGTTTTCACACCGCTAGTTCGATTATTTGGTCCGCACCAGGCAATAAAATTGTTATTATGTAGCAAATACACTCCAGTGTGTCCGCGTTCACACCGGCAAACGAACCAAAACTGATTGACGTGTCTCTGTTTCCCCGGTAAAACAGCGATACTCCAGTTATCAACACCGATGTTCCTGTTAATACCACGGGCCGTCCTCATCTCAAATTATCACCATGAACTCATAAAACAGCAACATGTAGAACTTTGTACAAACTCACCCGCATCAGCCCAGAGTTCGGGTAAAGCAGCAGCAGCCAACAGCTCCTCAGGACGGGGCTGGGGTCTGGTCCTTGGTCTGTTACAAGCTCGTTGGTCAGATGGTCCGGAGGCTCTGTCCTCCATGTGCTGGTTCCAAACGGTGGCGAGAAAGACCAGTGCGCAATGACTGAGTCTGAGCGGGTACGTTCCGTCGTCTGCGCGCTGGTTCTGTGCGGGAAAAGCAAGAATGCGCTGTGGACTACAGGTCCGGGCGCGCTGCTCCGGTTCTCCGCGCTCAAGAACCGCGGCTGGTTCCGAGGTGGTGCAGCATCCGGACAGAAGCGTGAGTCCAGTTTGGTTTGTTATATGTTGTTCTGAGCGTCCGTCCTTGGCGCATTTGGTTCTTCCCGGGGAAAGCGCTTCCTCAGGTCGAGGCTCCCCGCTCCAGCTCCTCTGAGCCCGGCCTGAACTGGAGCTGCTCCCGCTGGTTCAGGACTCTGGTTTGGATCTAGTCCGACTGTATTTCTCACACTAGGCTAAAAACAGGGACTTTTTTAAGTTGTATCAATTGAATGGGCGATTGCCTATTGCCATGAAATTATTTGGTTAATTAAAGCCTAAAATAACAAATGTTGGTTGCTGTGTGATCACGGGGAACACCGGGTCGTCTCTGTGCGTGTAGGTCCAGAACAGGGGGACGCACCCCCAATTTTGACTCACTCTGGAGCCACACGTTCGCACACTGATACTTGCTCTGATCTTCGTGTGTTACATTCTCTGTATTGGCCTTTGTTGGTAAAATAATTCGAAAATGAATCGCGTCTGCGTCTGGACAACAATCTGTTACTGCGCTGGAGTCGTACAGCGTCATTTCAGGCAGAGGAGACGCGTGTCCCTCCCATGATGCATTTGGAATAGTCCGTTTGTCCATACTGTCTATGGTTTGGACCCGGGTTCGCGTTCACACCAGAGGAACCGCACCAAAGTTGGTCATTTGGTGCGGATTCAAGCGAACCGAGACCACCTTTTTTTGCGAGGTCTCGGTCCACTTGATTTGGTTCGGGTCCGAGTCCGATTGACGCTTTCACACCAACGCAAACGAACCGAACTAACCACTTTTGGTTCGAATGGACCGTTTGGTGCAACAAATACTGTCGGTGTGAAAACACCCTAAGTTTAGTTTTAAATCGGCCTTGTCCTGTTTTAAACGCGTGTCCCGTGTTTGGCCGAGCCGTCGGAAATACAATCTCTAATCTCGTCATTTATAAACTCCCTCATAACTTCGCCGAACGCGTAATGGACTCTCCTCGTCTTTAAACGAACGGCTCTCGTACGGAAGCGCCGCTCCGAGCCGCTCTGCGAAATCCAGCCCGATATCGAGGCTGAGCTGTGGAGGAGTTTTCCCATTGGCGAAATCGCATTACGTTTATGGCCCCGACGATATGAGCTCATCCTTCTGAGGAGCTGCCAGATCTGCGTCACTTCACACCTCCGTAACGGCCTTTATATACGACCTCTGTCACTCTATGGATTTAAATGGTAAATAAGTGAAGATCTGTGGAGGAGGGAGAGACTCTGGAGCAGCTCGGGCGTCGGAATAAAAAAAAGGAGCTGTGTTATTCTGAGCTCTTGCTGCTTAAAGGCGAAGCGAGTTTATTTGTAAAGCACAAGTCGTACATTCTGAGTGCTTCAAAGAATAAGAAAAACATTAAAGTTAGAATACAAAGAAGTCAAAACACAAATAATCAGCATAAAAAGAAAACGGAGAGAGAGAAGAGTGCAGAATAAAAACAATCCGTGTGTCGTTCGTTCATTCGTTTTTCAATATAAAATCAAAAATAAGAAAATGAGAAAAACAACAATTTTCTTCGTTATTTGTCTCCAAAACCAAAATGAAAAAAACAGATAATGATTTGTTTTTTTCAGTTTTTGATTTTGTGTTTAAAAAATTGAAAAAAACCTGTTTACCTGACTGAACCAGGACCGGAACCAGACCGGAACTGAGACCAAAACTGAGACCAGAACTGAGACTGGGAGCAGGACCAGGACTGAGACCAAAACTGAAACTGGGAACAGGACCAGGACTGAGACCGGGACCAGACCGGGACTAACACCAGGACAAGACCAGGACCAGACCGGGCCTGAGACCAGGACTGAGACCAGAACTGAGACTGGGAACAGACCAGGACTAACACCAGGACAAGACCAGGACCAGACCGGGACTGAGACCAGGACTGAGACCGGGACTGAGACCGGGACCAGGACTGACTGAGAACGGGACAGAGACCAGGACTAGACCAGGACCAGACCGGGACCAGACCAGAACTGAACCAGGACCAGACCGAGACTGAGACCAGGACTGAACCAGGTCCGGGACCAGACCAGGACTGAGACCAAAACTGAGACCAGAACTGAGACCAGGACCGAGACCGGGACAAGGACTGACTGAGATCAGGACTCAGACCGGGACTAAGACCAGGACTAGACAAGATTAATCAAATCTGATACAGATCCAACATTTATGTAAATGTGTCAAACTGAACACATTCTGTACTGTACAGGAGACACGGCACGGGGGAGATTGATTGACAGTGGTCTACAGCCAATCAGGACGCAGGGGGAGGGACACAATACGCCTTCATACACTGTAAAAAAAAAAAAAAAGGCATGCAAAAAAAAAAATCAGCGAAACAGTGAGACTGCGACTGTATATGAATGGACCATGTGCCAAACAAAGAATCTGTCCATATTTTCGCCACGGTCGTTTTAGTCGCCGCAGGGTTCAAAGTGTGAGAAAAAAGTAGCGGCTTATACTCCGGATATTACAGTATGGGTCCGGTCAAGTGGTAATGGAGGGAAACAGGAGCAGATTTTTGACATTCAAATGTCTCTTATTCAGAAACTAGAGGAACTATTGAAATAAGTAAAGTATCAGAATGTAGGAAAGAGTTACACTCCAACAGGGTCAAGTTAAACCTGTGATATTCTTTCAAGTTGTTGACAACAAATTTAAAAACTCATGTCAGTAACGGAGGGAATGAAATATGCAGCACTTTTTTGGTCAATAAATCCAAACAGTGATAACTCTTGGTTCTCACTTACATATCCTTAACAAACTGGTTTGAATATTTGCTTCATATAGTTTTCTACCATATGGGACAAGATTAGGTTGAAAAACCTCTTACTTTTTGACTCATGAGATTTTTTATTAAGAAAGTTCATGGTAACGGAGGGAAAAGTAACGGAGGGAAAATTGTACAAACAAGTAGAAGGTGCAGGATTTTACATCATTTGTCGCTTTTCTCTTCCGAATACTTTAATATTACTTCAAAATGAAAGGAAACTATTTCTATAAAATATGTCAGTCCTTCCAAGAACATTTTTATCATTTTAAATACTTTTTTTTTTTTTTTGAAAAATCCTGTCCCTTCATCAACAGTTCAAAGATGGAATAACACAAGATATGATGAAATACATCCATTTATTTACATGATTTTTGGGTCTTTGAGATTTGGGAAATAATTTTTGTTCCATGTTTCATACATGGTCTGTTTAAAACATATGGAACTTTAGAACCAAAAATGGTACAGAAAAAAGGTCAACAGTTTCATAAACTAGAGTACATATGTATCTGTTCAATACATTTTTATATCAGATGCATTAACTTGAATTTTTGGTCTTGTTGTTTACTTCTGCTTGACCGGGCCCAGATCTAGTTTTGACACTAGGTTTTGATATCGATTAGTGTCTGATTTTCGATGCTTTTGACAGCCTTATAGTGCACCTTTAAACTCCTCTTCAGCTCAGTGTGTGGCGGTGTTGTCGGGGGTCGTCTGAGGCCAGTGTCGCGGTTGGTCCTGCCCGGCTCGGCGTTCTTCTTCGTGGGGCGAGCCGTGGGGGTGAGACTGGGCCAAACCTTTAGCCCCCCAGACCTGATGTAAGAGATCAGAGCCACGGTGCAATCTCCTCGGCTCCCGGGGCCCAGACGAGGGCAGAGGGACCCGCTAATGAACCACAGCGACTGCCGCTCGCAACAAACTGACTTCTGTGTGCTCGTTAATGAAGTACAAGTTAGTCTGGGTCTTGTAAAGAGGAAGTGTTGAGCTAAACCGACTTTAGAGCTTTCAAAGTTCAAAGTCAGAGTTAACTTTAGTGTCAGTTTCTTCACATGTACTGCACATACACAGGGCTCCTGTCGTGTTTTAAAAAGTCTTATCTATGAATTTGTAAATAATACCTTAAAAAGTCTTGAAAAAGTTCTGAATTTTTATATCTGGGTCTTAAAATTTGTGCAGTACGTGACTTATCCTTGTCACATTTCTCCTCAAAAGTTTAATGTGTCAACCGTTATTATTTGGTTAAATAACGTCGCCTAAATAAAGAGCGGCGGAACCAATAATTGAGAACACAACGCAGCTCCAGGTCAGGGGGCCCCAGGTCAGAATCCTCTGAACAAGTCACTGAAGATCACGAGCTGCAGCAACAAGACAGAAGCAGAAACTCGTAAAACCAAAGAAAATCTCACCAGAACATAAAGGTTGATTAACGTTGTTATCTTGTTTTTACGTTACCGAGCAACACATTTCATTCTGGAGTAATGGGGGAGTTTCTCTACTTTCCAATATTCTTTTGTTTGAGAAATAAATGAACACAAATGCAAGAATTTTGTTTTTCTTTGCCAGTAGGTCAATGAAATAGGACATGAAATAGGTATAACATTTTTGGTCTTAAAAAGGTCTTAAAAAGACTTTAAAGAATTTTAAAATGTAAAATCATTTAACTTGAAGAAACCTGTAGGAACCCTGCACACAAAGAAATCAAAATTATGTTTCTTTCTATCCCAAGTGTAATAATAATAATAACAGTGTTAATAATTGGCCACGCCACTCCAGTACATATTTGAGTTGTTTTCGTTGTGGATGCAGTGTTCGTTCACACTAATCTGACTGAAAACGGCTCCAGAGACGGAACGATCTGGTGCCTCCAGCTCCCATGAATTCATGTTCGTACAGATCTGATCTGACCTGGGTTCGTGACATCGTCATGTGACGCTATTGCAGAAAAAAGTTTAAACAAACCAGAGACAAACGGGAAACAGCGGAGCTAGAAATACTTACACAGAACAGACTCACCATCAGCAGAACACGCCTCTGTCACAGAAAAGAACACTCAGATTCCACTGAGTCACTGTGTCCTTTTTAAGTCTGATAGAAGCTGAACCACAAGCTTTTTTTGAGCGCTCAGTTTATGCAAATGAACCATGAGGTTTTAAGTTTCATTTCTGTCAAATGTAAACAAATACGCTCAAAGCTGAGTGGAAGGATTGCGGACACAGAAACGAAGTGTCTGGACTCAAATTTCTGATATGGTGACACGGTGATTCGTCTCAGTGTAAACGTAACAATAGTAATCCGAGCTCTTCCAGTTTCTCTATTTTAATGTCCAACCACTGCAGATTTGAACCCTAACCCTCTCGACTGTCTTTATATTCCAACGTAGACTGACGAGAAAAACATTCAGACACATTTTTGATGAACAAAACCCTGCGTTACACTGCGGAGAGCGAGAGGCTGCCGTTCCCTCATCAAAAACATTTCTGAAGAGGTTTTAGAGTCACCCATGCATGTTTGAGTAATCTAGCGATCTCTCTTGTGCCCTGTTCAAACCCTCTTTACGTTTAGCTGCCCACAAGCCCACGTCCCCCGCGCACCCACACGACAACTCTCCATAAATACACAAAAACACGACACAAAACTGAACCTGATGTGAACTGCTTGTGTTGTGACGGCGCTCTGAAGGGGGGGGTGACTTAGCTCAGAGAATACAGCATTTTCATTTGTTTCCCTTGCAGGACGCGTTTGCCAAAGGAGAGGTGTTTCTGGGGAACAAGGACCACGGCTACAGCGCCTCGGCGGGGCTCCCGTCCGGCACGCACTGCAACGGCGCCTGGTCACACGGCGTCACCATCGAAACGCCCGAGCGCTGCTTCCTGTTCACCTGCGAGACGGAGGCGGAGCAACAGGAGTGGGTCCAGACGTTCAACGAGGTCATAAACGCGCCCATGTCCCCCCAGGAGTACACGAGTAAGAGGAGTCCACGTCATGAAAGAGTCCGTCTCATGCAAAATAACTCTTTTCACATTGTATCTTCTGCTCATAAACAAGCGCAGTTTGGCCCAATAAGATTCATTTGTTCTTCCGATATTCTGTGTTATTAGGTTCTTTTTGCAGACCTACAGTGTTATTTCACACCTGACAGTTTCGACTAGGGACGGGCATTTGATGAAATTTTCTTAATCGATCGTCGGAAGAATTAACGATCGATTATCGATTAATCATTAACGTTTTTATATTAAAATGATCATCATTATTATGACTATCTGCACTAATCTGCATAAATAAATTCAACTTTACGACATATAAACATAACGACTCTAGATCCACATCAGCTGTTTGACATTATAATGTGTTTAATTCAGTTTTGTTCAAATCTCACAGAAACAAAACTTAAAACCACATCACTAATTTACATAAACTAAGTGAAGATAAAACTCCAGCTCTTGTGTCGCTGATGTGGTTCAACTTGTGTTGGATTAAAAGACATGACTCAGGTGAATACAGGTCAGTGTGACCAGATTTGTGTTTGTCAAAACCAGGACAGCGTACGGGGGGAGGGGGGCGGGGCCTCGTCATCCACATTGAGCGACTCTCACCTGGAAAAACTTTTTCCACTGGACACAGAAACATATGTGCTGCTTTATCCACTGTGCACATGGACTCACACTTGTCCCAACGCAACGGAAAGTGTGGAATTTCTTCTACAAATCCATGGTTAAATCCACATTTGTGCTTCGGTTCGTTACAGACTGACCCACTGTTTGTGTCTCGCTCCTTCTGATGCAGAGACACATGTACACACCTGTTTGGTCACGACACACAAACATACATTCAGTTTGTCGATTAAAATGAATGTAATCGATGAAATTCTTAATGATCAATTATCGATTAATCGATTAATCATGCCCATCCCTAGTTTTGACTACTCACTAGCGTCTTCCTCAGAGTCACGTGATGTTGCTGTGACGTGTCTGGTCAGATGATTTAAACAGGTTTTGTCTCTGTCTTCCCACCGGTGGAGGCAGGACGACAGCGCCACCTTCAGTCCCACTTCCTCAGGACAGAATCATTTCGTCCACCCGAAAGACAAAATAGAACCGGAGCATAAATGTAATGTAATATATGAAATACCCTGCATGTCCTGCAATAAAACACACATCGGGGAAACAGGGAGGGCGTTCAGTCCACGAAAGACAGAAACATAGAAGAGAATGCGAGAAGGAAACAATGAAGGCGAAACACGAGCAACAAAACACAAAGCAGAACAGGAACAACTCAAATCGGCCGTTTCTGACCATTGTAAAAGAGAGAACCACGTTATGGACGGGGACGGAGCAAACATCATTGGGACAGAGGAAAACAAACATCGCCGCTGGATTAAAGAAGCAATCGAAATACAGAAACGTGCCCACAGGACTGTAAACCGGGACGAGGGGCTTTTTTACTCTCACACACCTGGGATACTGTCCTGAGGAACTGGGACTGCAGGTGGCGCTGTCGTCCTGCCTCCACCGGTGGGAAGACAGCACCAAAACCTGTTTAAATCAGCTGACCGGACACGTCACAGCAACATCACGAGACTCTGAGGAAGACGCTAGTGAGCAGTCGAAACTGTCACGTATGAAATAACAGTCTAGGTCTGAAAAAAGAACCTAATAACACATAAGCACAGTTTGGGTTTTGGAACATCCATTACACAATAGTTCTGACAATCACAGACCAGAAACTATGAAAGGCCGACTATTGCTCATCCCCCCGCCCGTCCTGAGAAAGCACAGGCTCCGCCCTCCAAACGTAGGCGACCAGTGAGCCGCCCTGACTTGCCTAAACTTAACCAGATGCTGGGGTCTGTGCCTAAACTTAACCAGATAGTGAGGGGCATATTGCTTAAACTTGGTCCTACAAGATACAAAGCCCAACACAGGGGTCTGAATCTAACCCAGTATGGAGTAGGACACCCAACACAGAGATCCACATGTTTAAAATTAAAAGAGTAAAATATTGGACACCCAACAAGGGGTCCACAGCCCTAGACCAACGCCTTACCTAACCTTAACCAGACACCAGTGGACAGAACATATTGACTGTCCCTTTAAACTTTAAATGGCTCAAAGACAGACGTGCACCCTGACAGCGGCAGGAATAAACTTTTATTCATCATGGAGATACAGAAGTACTATTTTCTTACTAGTACTTTAGTACTATTTAATTCAGAATGATTCATTCAGACAAACCGGACCTTTAAACTGAATCTGTGTGTCGTTCGTTCATTCGTTTTTCAAATAAGAAAACAAAAGAACAACAGTTTTCTTCATTATTTGTCTCCAAAACCAAAATGAAAAAAACAGATAATGATTCATTTTTTCAGTTTTCGATTTTGTGTTTAAATGAAAAATGGAAAAAAACAGATAACGGCCGTTTCCTGTTTACGTGACTTCTGTGACTGCGATGCCGGACTTTTGCACCGCATACGGACTGAACCAGGTCCGGGACCAGACCAGAACCAGACCGGGACTGAAACCAGGTCTAGACCAGAACCAGACCGGGACTGAGACCAGGTCTAGATCGGGACCAGAGCGGGACTGAGACCAGGACCAGACTGGGATCAGACCGATACTGAGATCAGGACTGAGACTGGGACCAGACTGAGACCGAGACCAGACTGGAACTGAGACCGGGACCAGACCGGAGGCTCAGATCCCACGGCCGGGCCGGATCTCGAAGCTGAGGCTCGGAGTCCCAGCTCTGGTCCCGCTCTGGTCCTGGTCCTGGATCAGTCCTGGTTCAGTCTGTATCCAGTCACTGAAGTCACGTAAACGGGAAACGGCCGTTATCTGTTTTTTTTTCATTTTTCATTTAAACACAAAATCAAAAACTGAAAAAGCAAATCGCTATTTGTTTTTTCATTTTGTTTTTGGAGACAAATAATGAAGAAAACTGTTGGTTTTTCATTTTCTTATTTTTGGTTTTATATTGAAAAACGAATGAACGAATGATACGTGGATTAAACTGCTTCGTTTTGTCTGTTTCTTACTTTTCTGTCGTGTGTTTTGTGTCGTTTCAGTGGAAGCCTTGTTCAAACACAGACATCGATGAGACGGCGGCTTGTGCGACCTCTGACCTCTGACCTCTGGGAGTCCCGGAGTAAAGACGAACTCGGGCCGCAGCCAGTTTCTCCTCGACTCCTCTGACCTTTGTACCTCCCTCAGAACGAACACAACATCAACCAACCTGAACACACAAGACGCACACTGTTCAAATAATCTCACTGTAGTGTTGTTATTATTTTTATTGAAATCATAAACACGTCACTCCGGGGGGTTCAACACGTTTGTCTATGGCAGAATAATCCGTGTGTCGTTTGTTCATTAATAAACTACAGTTTTCTTCATTATTTGTCTCCAAAACCAAAATGAAAAAAACAGATAATGATTCAGTTTTTGATTTTGACTGACTTTAAACTGAAACCAACTGGAACCAGGAAAAAAACCAGGACTAACCAGGACTGAACCAGGACTAAACCAGGACTGAACCAGGACTGAACCAGGACTAAACCAGGACTAAACCAGGACTGAACCAGGACTAAACCAGGACTGAACCAGGACTGAACCAGGACTGAACCAGGACTAAACCAGGACTGAACCAGGACTGAACCAGGACTGAACCAGGACTAGACCAGGACTGAACCAGGACTAAACCAGGACTAAACCAGGACTGAACCAGGTCCAGGACCAGACCGGAACCAGACCGGGACTGAAACCAGGACTTAGACTGGGATCAGACCAAGACTGAGGCCAGGACTGAGACCGAGAACAGGACCGGAACTGAGACCGGGACCGAGGCCGGGACCAGACCAGAATTGAGACCAGGACTGAGACTGGGAACAGGACCAGGACTGAGACTGAGACTGGGACCTGACCGTGATTGAGACCGGGACTGAGACTGGGACCCGACCAGGACTGAAAATGGTTCAGTCCTGGTCCAGTCCTGGTCCAGTCCTGGTTTAGTCCTGGTTCAGTCCTGGTAGTCCAGTCCTGGTTCAGTGGTCCCGTTCAGTCCCTGGTTTCAGTCCTGGTTCAGTCCTGGTTCAGTCCTGGTTTAGTCCTGGTTCAGTTCCTGGTTCAGTCCAGTCCCGGTTCAGTCCCGGTTCAGTCCGGTTCAGTAGTCCCGGTTTAGTCCCGGTTCAGTCCCGGTTTCCAGTCCCAGTCTAGTCCCGGTTCAGTCCCTGGTTTAGTCCCGGTTCAGTCCCTGGTTCAGTCCCGGTTTAGTGGTTCAGTCCCTTCAGTCCTGGTTAGTCCTGGTTTAGTCCTGGTTCAGTCCTAGGGTTTAGTCCTGGTTCAGTCCTGGTTTCAGTCCTGGTTTAGTCCCTGGTTTAGTCCTGGTTTAGTCCTGGTTTAGTCCGGCATCACAGTTTAAGTCACAGAAACGGGAAAACACGAAATCGAAAACTGAAAAAACAAATTGTCATCTGTTTTTTCATTTTGGTTTTGGAGACAAATAATGAAATTTTTTTTTTTTTTTTTTTTTCATTTTCTTATTTTTGGTTTTATATTGAAAAACAAATGGCACTCGTTCCAGATGAGTCACTTCTTTCTGGTCAAACTGTGTTAAAATAAAACTCAGTTTAGAGTCTAACAAAGCCTCAGACAGAGCAGTGCCTCCGGTTAGTGCCTCCTTTTTTTTCTGCACAGTGTTTTTTGCCTGAGCTCCCCCTGCAGGTGTCGTCTTGTGAGTGCACGTTGGGTCAGTTACACAGAAATACAGAATAATTTTGAAAGCCGATCGATCAACAACACACGACTCTTCCACACTGAAAATACTGAGAGTTTTTGGAGTAAACGTCGTCAAAAAGTTTTCTACCGTTAATTTTTATTGCTCTTTTAACTACTATATGATGTACTTTTTCACCTTTTCTGTGTTTTATAATATTTTAAATGTTACTACCAGTGTGCTGTTATTCTAAAAAAGAAAGTTCAAGATTGTAATTGTACAGATAGACGCTGTTGTAAAGTCTCTCTGGGTGTTACACGGTGGAACACTGCCCTCTGGTGGTGGAGCGTCAGAACACATGTCCATACAAAAGGCCAAGTTCTTTATTTTAATAAATATGTGCACAATGAAATATTATTGTTTTTATGATGTGGTTATTTGATTAATTATTGTAAAAATGTAAATTAAAATGCCGCGACTTAAAATGCGGCTAATTACATTTCGATTTAAAGATTTAAAGATTTTATATGACGCTAAATTGTGAGATTTAACTCGTGTCATAACGTTTCTTTCTCAAAAACTGAGACAAGACCAAGACTTTTAAAGACTGAGACCTCTGAGGGCCGAGACCAAGACGAGACCGAGACTTTTAAAGGTTGAGACCGAGAAAAGACCAAGACCACAGCCCCTCGAGACCAAATCAAGACCATCTTTGTCATTTCCTACATTTATTTGTATTTTACTGTTTTTGGCACATAGATTTATAAAATAAATAAATAAACATTGATATATATCTCCATTTGATCTGGTTAATGTTTATTTAGGCTTAAAATAAGCCAAGCAAACAGTACCAAAGTCCTGTACGGGTCCAGACCCACACCCGCCCGCACCAGCACAGTTCAGCACCGCACTGGCCCGTTAACCCGAGATTATATCAAAGTTAAACCCGCAGCCGCCCAGACCTGTTAACATTCTACCTGTTACCGGCCCGTGCCCATGATAACTAACAAACAGATTAAAAACTTTCTAACTGAAGCATCCATCAGAATATGAACTGAAAAGTTACGACTTCAAGAATTATAATCATGAAATGAAATGAATCTGTTTCTATTTCTTCAGAACACGAATTGACAGACGAGACTCAACTGTCAAAACTTCACAGGTTTTATTTACTGAGCAGAAGAAACACTGATCAAGGTGCCGGACTTTTGCGCCGCACATGACATGGACTGAACCAGGACTAACCCAGGACTGAAACCAGGACTAAACCAGGACTAAAACAGAACTAAAACAGGACTAAACCAGAAGTGAAGCAGGATTCACTGTTGGGACAGGCCCGGAGGTGCGCCCGCGTAGACCGTCAGTGACCGGAGCAGAGTTCTGCGCCACATGGAGGTAAGTGCTGCGCTTTGTGGACACCGTGCGCCACAGACTGGGGGTTTTCTCTCTCTTTAGTCCAAGATTAGTCCAGGTGTAGTCCTGGTTTAGTCCTGACTTAGTCCTGACCAGCCCGTGTGTAATTACTAGCCTACCTGCCTGCTTACCCGTCCGTAAAATTCCAGAACGTTAAAACCTGCCTGTGGGTGCCCTGCAGGACTCTGAACTGTACTGTACCCACAGGTTGAGAACCCGTTTTTTTAAGAGAACTTCCACTGGCACTTTACAGAAAACTGTAAAAAAAAAGTGTTTTTTTCAAGTTCATAACATTTACAGTTCCATTCTCCTACTGGTTTTGCAGTGATATTTACTACACTCTGCACGTTTACCGACCGTGATGAAATATGATCAAACTCAACGAGTGTCAAACCTCGAGTCTGAGACAAGACCAAGTCCAAGACGAGATCAAGATCGTAAAAAGCAGTCTTGAGACCAGCCTGGAGTACTACCACACTATCAATTAGCATCTGATTTTGGATCCTAGACGATCCTAGACTTAGTGTCGTAGTCCAGACTGGTCTTGGTCTCGTCTCAGACTAGACTGCATTTGGACTCGGTCTTGTCACGGACTTGAGGTCTAACTCCAGTTAGGAACTTGAAATAACAGGTTTAAAAATCCTACCCATTTTCTTCACAGTTTTGTGTAAAATGCCAGAGGAAGTTCTCTTAAAGAAGAGGTTCTCAAACTGTGGGTGAGGGGCCAAAAAAGGGGCACAGAGTGTTTCAGTGCAAGTACAGTTTGTGTGGTTTATTTTAAACTTAAATTGACATTTATCAAATTAAATGGAAATAAATCTATAAAAAGATTGATATAAATGTGCCACAATAACAGTAAAATACAAATAATTGTAGAAAATGGTCTTGATCTTTAAAAGTCTTGGTCTTGTCCCGGTCTCAGCCCTCAGAGGTCTCGGTCTTGTTTTGGTCTTTAAAAGTCTTGGTCTTGTCTCAGTCTGGTCTCGATGGGCCGTGGTCTCGGTCTTGTCTCCGTCTCGAACGTTAAAAGTCTCGGTCTTGTCTCGGTCTCAGCCCTCAGAGGTCTCGGTCTTGTCCTGGTCTCGGCCCTGTCTTGGTCTTGTCCTGGTCTCGGGGCCTTGTGTCTCGGACAGGTCTCGGTCCTCAGCCCTGTCTTGTCTGTCTTGGTGTCCTGTCTCGGGCCTTGTGGTCTCGGACAGGTCTCGGTCTTGTCCTGGTCTTGAGGCCCTGTCTTGGTCTTGTCCTGGTCTCGGGGCCCTGTCTTGGTCTTGTCCTGGTCTCGGGGCCTTGTGGTCTCGGACAGGTCTCGGTCTTGTCCTGGTCTTGAGGCCCTGTCTTGGTCTTGTCCTGGTCTCGGGGCCCTGTCTTGGTCTTGTCCTGGTCTCGGGGCCCTGTGGTCTCGGACAGGTCTGTCTTCGTCCTGGTCTCGGGCCCTGTCTTGGTCTTGTCCTGGTCTCGGGCCTTGTGGTCTCGGACAGGTCTCGGTCTGTCCTGGTCTTGAGGCCCTGTCTTGATCTCGTCCTGGTCTCGGGGCCCTGTCTTGGTCTTGTCCTGGTCTCGGGGCCCTGTGGTCTCGGACAGGTCTCGGTCTCGGTCTGGACTAAAACCGTGCCCAGACTCTGACCGCGTCCGTTTCCATACCTCGCAGGGACATATCTGGTGTCACTTGCCACGGCCGTGTCAGGAGCTCTCTGCTGGGTGAGTAAAGCCACACTGCGGTGCTTTGAGGTCGGGGTAATATATCTACAGCAGTTTTCACCTCGGCGTTAAAGACCGCGCATACGTTCGACAAAAAGGGGCGGGTCAAAGGACGGACAAACCCCCAAAAAACTGTCAAACCGAGCGCTCCGGGTTCCAGCGCCTGAGGACTTCCATCATGGCGAATCGAGACGCGACTAAGACAGAGTTAGAAAAAGAAATAAAGACGGCATTTTCACGTTTAAATTTGTGAACGAACTTGAATGGATAACCCCGGGTCGCCATGGAGATGCTCGAAATCGCACCGAGAATAACCCGAAATCTTTTGCGTTCGTACCAAAAACTGTGCCAGAGACGCAGGAGCGAGCGACCGCTTTCGAAGAGCCCGAAGGGATAACGGGAGATAAACGCTTTTTCACCTCTTTTCTAATGCCCAAGGTCGGTTTGTCTTTCGTTTTATTGGAAATTCACTTAAAAATGTGTTAAATTTTATCCAATCGGAAAACAGAATGAGCCAAACTTGAGCCAAACTTGGATCTGGAGACACAGGTTCAGTTGTGATTGTAGAACTTTTTAACTTTTTGGTTTTTTTTTATTGGAGTTTTCACGGAGGTTCCAGTACTCCTTTTAAAGGTGCATTACGTAACTTTTCTAGTTTCTGGCTTGTTTCTATGGATACGTCATTGCTCTGTCTGGAATGTGGTGGTTTTTGTAGCTCGTTCTGACTGTAAATGTGGTCGCCTCTCCGCAGATCTGACCTGTAACTTGACCCGTTTTGGAGATAGAAAGGTTTAATAAAGCCGTACTGTGAAACATTCCACACAGAGTAATAACACTTCCACGGAGATCTGGCGAACCCTCAAACAGAAAAGTTACACAATACAACTTGCAACTTCAATTTCTTTTTATTTTTTTCTTTGAAATCATAGAAATTCATTTAAAAAACGTCAGGTTCTTCTGGAAAATAAACTCGGATCAGATTTTGGTTCAGGGAACAAATCTCGAAATAATAAAGACAAATAAATGTACGTAAAAGTTTTACTGTGGACAAGGTTTTCATGTTTGTAAATATTGAGTAAAACTGGTGAGTTTTATGCTTTTTTTAGACTCTAAATCAGACCTGTCAAACTCAAATTCAGAGGTCAAAATTAAAAACCAAACTAAATATTTATTGAAAAATTTTAACAACATCTGCATGTTTTCTCTTCTTTCGAGATAAGATCATGTTAAATCTTTTCTTATTAAAATAAATGTTTAATAATAGTTTTGTTTAAACATTGAATCCAGAACAAACAGAATATAAAATAATAATAAAATTTTAAATAAATCATGTCTCTGTAGCCTGAGTTTGACACGTCTGATCTAAAACTTCTATCAAACGCTGGAATCAATCACTGCAGAAATATTAGTATTATATTTGTATTACATCAGGATTAAAGTACATTATATTGATCTGCAGGAATAATTAACTTGACTCAAGATTTACAAATTTACCATTTTTTTTTTATTTGAGAATTCATTTTTCCTAACCTGGAAAGACCAGATTTTGTGCATTATTTAATGTTTTGTCTTTTTCAGTTACTTTAACCTCAAATGATATTAGACGTGTTCAGAGAGTTAACATGACTGAAGTAAATTCTGTCATGGTTTCCCCCAAATCCTCTTATTTGACGAATTTCATGAAATAATTTTGAAGTACTTTTGCTTGAGTAGTATTATTTTAAAGGTGTCAAACTCAAATTCACATTGGGCCAAAATAAAAAACTGGGACTAAGTCGTGGGAAAATTAAATATTTATTGAAAAATGTCAACATCTGTATGTTTTCTCTTCTTTCCAGATCTGTAATGTTAAATCTTTTCTTATTAAAATAAATGTTTAATAATAGTTTTGCTTAAACATTGAATCCAGAACAAACAGAATATAAAATAATAACATTTTAAATAAATCATGTCTCTACAGTCGATCTGTGTGCGGCAGCAGCTCTAATACAGATTTGATATGATCTCACGGGCCAAATATAATTATATTGCGGGCCAAATTTGGCCCCCAGGCCTGAGTTTGACATGTCTGCTCTAAAACTTCTAACAAACTTAGGAATCGATCACTGCAAAAATATGAGTATTATGTTAGTATTATGTCAGATGTTGCCAGGACAACAGGATTAATGTACAATATATTGATCTGGAGGAATAATTAACTGGACTCTAGATTTACAAATTTATAATTTTTGAAATTTTGAAATTTGTTTTTCCCAGCCTAGACAGAATGTTTTGTCCTTTTCCAATTACTTTAACCTCAAATGATAAATCAGACGTGTTCAGAGAGTTTCCTTTACTTCAGTCATGGTTTCCCCCAAATCCTCTTATTTGAGTAATGTAATGAAATACTCTGTACTTTTACTTGAGTAGAATTATTTTTAAAGGAACTGTATGTAGCCTGTGTTCTGACAGGTTTAAAAATCACAACTGAACTTGGGTTGTACGAGGACAGACCAGGCCTCAAGTGAAAACTCAGAACATCCAGAATTTACTACTTTACTGAGCTGCAGAGGCTGCACTAGCTTTTGGCATTTCTTAGACCCTGAGGCAGAGCTGTGAAGTGAAAACCATTTCAGGGACTTCAGTCCTGGTTTAGGTCTGTTTTAGTCCTAGTTTGTTCAGTCCTGGTTTAGGTCTGATTTAGTCCTAGTTCAGTCCTGGTTCAGACTTGGATTCATATTTATTTTATACAATCTTTTTGTTCTATTGACATGTTTAAAATATGAATACATTTTTTTAAAGTAAATATTTGTGAGAGTCAATTTTAACACTTCATTTTTTGTTGTTTACCTGCTAGAAATATTGTGAGATTAGTTTACACTTTGAATATTATTTTTATTTTGTGAACACCATGAAGTAACGATATAAATCTGGCTTGTAGATGGTGCCTTTTTGCTGATGAACCAATGAACTGCACTCCTAACGCCACTCTCCACGGTCCACAGCTCGGACTAGCCCTGAGCCCCGAGTCCGGATCTGGATCTGGCTCGACCCAGGACTCCGGCGGGACCCAGGCCGGCGGGACCCAGGGCGGAGGCGGGGTCTGGGTCACCTCCCTCCTCGGCATCACCCTGACCGTCATGTGCGCCATCGGGGTCGTCGGAAACCTCTACACTTTGCTCATAACGAGGTCGGCCGCTCTGAGACGCACCGGCTCCATGTACGTTTACATCGTTAACCTCGCGTTGGCCGACCTCCTGTACCTCTCCACCATACCCTTCGTGGTCTGCACATACTTCGTCCACGACTGGCTCTTCGGGGAGGCCGGCTGTCGGATTCTTTTAAGCCTCGACCTCCTCACGATGCACGCCAGCGTTTTCATCCTGGTCGCCATGAGCGCCGAGCGATACCGCGCGGTCGCCAAACCCTTCGTCGCGCACAGGTCGTCGTCCCGAAACCGCAAAATGGTCGCCGGGTTCATCTGGGGCACGTCCTTCGTCCTGACGCTGCCGATGATGATCATGATCCGACTGCGCGAAGGGAAACCGAACATCGCCGGTTTGGTGAAGCGGATGTGCTACCCGACGTGGACCCCGGACGCTTTCAAAGTTTACATCACGGTTTTGTTCCTCACCAGCGTTCTTCTTCCCGGTTTGGTGATCGTGGCGTTGTACATGGGGCTCGCTCGGAGGTACTGGGCGGTTCAGGCGCAGCTGGGGGCGACCAACCGCTCCGCACGACGACGAGGACTCAAACAGAAAGTGGTATCGATGATTTTTAGCATCGTCGTCGCGTACTGGGCCTGCTTTTTACCGTTTTGGAGTTGGCAGCTCACCAAACTCTTCTCTCCGGAGCTGCTGAGGGCCCTGACGCCGGCCGCGCACAATTACATCAACTTTTTTGTGACTTGTTTGACGTACGGCAACAGCTGCATCAACCCTTTCCTCTACACGCTCCTCACCAGGAACTACAAGGATTATCTGGCTCAGAAGAGTCAGTCGAACGGGTCCAGCAGAGCAGATCCGGGGTCGAACGTCACCACGCCACTGCAAGATCTGTAAAGAACTAACGCGGAACATTCAATTGTAAAGAAAACGTGTCTGTTGAAAGGGCTGGTACTTCGCGGATGACGTCATCAACATTCTCTGGGGGTGTGAAGCGAACGTAGGGTGACCAGACGATCTGTGTGTCGTTTGTTCATTCGTTTGTCAAAATAAAACCAAAAATGAGAAAACGAAAAAACAGCTATTTTCAAAATGAAAAAACGGATAAAGATTCGTTTCCCGTTTACGTGACTTAAACTGCAATGCTGGACTTTTACACCGCATACGGACTGAACCAGGACTGGACCAGGACTAAACTCTTTTCAGTCCTGGTCTGGTCCCGGCCTCAGTCCTGGTCTCAGTCCTGGTCCTGTTCCCAGTCTCAGTCCCGGTCTGGTCCTTGTCTCAGTCCTGCTCTCAGTCCCGGTCTGGTCCCGGCTTTAGTCCTAGTCTCAGTCCTGGTCCTGTTCCCGGTCTCAGTCCCGGTCTGGTCCTTGTCTCAGTTCTGGTCTCAGTTCTGGTTTGGTCCAGGTCTCAATCCTGGTCCCAGACTCAGTCCCTGTCTGGTCCTGGTCTGGTTCCGGCCTCAGTCTTGGTCTCAGTTCCGGTCTGGTCCCGGTCTCAGTCCTGGTCTCTGTCCTGGTCCTGTTCCCAGTCTCAGTCCTGGTCTGTCCTGGTTTGGTCCCGGTCTGGCCCCAGACCTGGTTCGGTCCTGGTTCAGTCCAGCGTCACGTAAACGGGAAACAATCGTTATCTGTTTTTTCCATTTTTCATTTAAACAAAATCTAAAACTGAAAAAACAAATCATTTTCTGTTTTTGGAGACAAATAATGAAGAAAACTGTTGTTTTTTCATTTTCTTATTTTTGGTTTTATCTTGAAAAGCGAATGAACGAATGACACACAGATTCCAGTCGTCCCTGTTTCCCTGGGACAGTCCCAGTTTTGAGTCTGTGTCTCTTGTCCCTGCAGATTTATACAAAACCACTGATTTGTCCCAGTTTTTTTTTTTTTTTAAAGAAATGTCCCTGTTTCTGACCAATCTTGATCCCTGCCAACAGTAAACAGAGACACACATTGTGATTTGTTTTGGTAAAATACAGAAAATCTGCTTAAAAACGACCAAAACTCAAAGAAAATGTGATTATATTGACTCACATTAGAGCCAAGTCCAGAACAATTTTTCTTAATTACGCACTCGTTTCCTAATATTGTTATTACCAATCACCAAAAAAATAAAAAAAAATGGGGATGTCCCAGTTTTTTATTTTGAAATTCTGTCCAAAAAAATTTCATTTAGATGGAACGACGACAAGTGATGTTAAACAAGTCTCAAATAACATGAGCATTAGCACTAGCGTTAGCATTAGCACTAGCGTTAGCATTAGCACTAGCGTTAGCATTAGCACTAGCGTTAGCATTAGCCAACAGTTTTTCAGTTAGTCTCTTTCACCTTTTTGTAAAATCAATCTTCTAAACACGACCATGAACGGTCCATGTACCATTTGTTCTTTTGAATTTTAATTAAGAACGAAAAACAATAAAATGGGAAAACAGTTTGTTATTTCATTTTTCCGTTTTAGTGTCAAAAAAAACAAAAAAACAAAACAAAACAGATTTCGACCTCCATTTCCAGTATTTAATTCAAAGTTTATTTCAAATAAAACCAATCAAAAAATCAGAATCAGATTTAATTTGTCATTTCAGTATAAAAAAAAAAATACACAGAAATGAAATACTGCACAAAAACCGGCTCAGTGCCTATTTTAATTTAGATATTTTATTCTCTCTGGTTTATTTTGGACGTTCTGCTGCTGAAGGATTCACCTGAAAATCTGAAAACTTGTCTCTTCTTTTATAGCAACGTGTTTATTTTCGCGTCTTAGAAAGTCATTGTTGAACTGACGAGAAAAAAGTAGCAGCGATAAACTTTCCTTTGCTCAGTTGACTCCAGAGAACTAGAATAAAAATAGTTTTTGTTATAGATCCATGGTCACGGCGCTGAGCAGCAGAACTTCAGGGTAAATAAACCAGAGAGAATAAAATATCAACATAAAATAGGCACAGAGATTGTTTTTGATTGGTGTTATTTGTTTTTTGTTTTGTTTTTTGTGTGTTTTTTTGTGTGTGTTTTTTTACACTAAAATGGAATAATGAAATAACAAACTGTTTTCCCATTTTATTGTTTTTCGTTCTTAATTGAAATTCCAAAGATCGATGTTACAGGGACCATGAACGCTCAGACTGATCACAGGAAAATAAAAATGTGATG